CCATGTACAAATAGCATTCTGGTGTTGAACTGTTTCACCTATTTTAAAATTATGGAGTTCACCACGTAATTACATAAACTAATTTGGTATGCTCTCTAAGTATCTTTAAAACATTGCAAACTACGCTACTATGCGCCGGAGTGATTAAGAAGGATTTTGGCTTGAATTCAATGTTGGTGTCTCCTGAAAGTCACTTCCTACACAAGTATGTGAAAAAATATGAGAAAGAAGCTCCTGAGCTTTTGAAGTTATATCAGGAGAAGTTGAATCTTTCAAAGTGACTAGGATATGGAAAAATGAGGAACAGAGTTAGGTTTCTCCTATGTTTACTCTTGGGTAGTGAATATGGTTTTGTGTGAAATACAACATGCCGATCAATTCACATTCATTCATCTCTGACCAAATTCTATGATACTCTCGTAGTCGATTGGGCTTGGTGTGATATACCATTGTTTGTTTATCCGGGAGATCAGTCTGGCGATTTGGTTTTGTTCGGAACTAGTTCAATTTGGTAAATTAATGCTTTTCATTTTCATTTGTAATGCTACAAACATTTAACTCAGTGTTGGATTTTTTTAATCCAGCAACGGTTATTTTCCTCTTTTATTTAGAGCATATATTAATGAGATTATATAACATTGTTCTCTTTATTCAAGTGTGACATTGTTGGTTCAATTCATGATTCACTCCATCTACCAGTAACCCCCTAACCTCTGCTGCCCCACCTCTGTGACATTGTTAGTTGTCATTTTCCTCTCCGGCTGCAACATCACACACTCGAACCCAAAATCCTCCATCACCACTCCACCACCAATACCGTAATCCACCACCCAACGACCCTAGCCGCCACTGCCACTGTCTACAACAAGCCCACGCCAACCAAATCCCTACTTGGTAAGAAACAAGTACACCCATTTGCTCCTTTGGAGATTTGAACACTCACCGTCCACTCTGAGAGGCTTAACCACTGCCATTAGAAACCATTCAATATCCATCAAAACCCGAAACCAATCCACAAATACCTATCTCATCAAACAATGGATTAATCAGGCTAGGTTAAATGTTTAAGTTTCATTCTTGCCTCCTTGTCTAAGATACAGCAGAGATGTGCTTAGTAGATGTGTTTAATTAATGTTGTTAAATGCATAAATAAAATTACTTACTTGTTAGTCTATTATCCATGCATAAGCTTATGGATGTACGGATAAGTATTTACAGTATTTTAGGTAAATTCTTGTACAAAGAATGCCAAAGAGATGATTATATTAAGTATGTTTCAAGCTAGGAAGCACGCCTAAAAGGGTAGACACCAACACGGATCATCCGAAAAAAGTGTTTGAATATTTTATATTTTTTTATAAATATTCAGACACTTGTTGGACACGCATCCGACACGTGTCCCATTCTTGAACATTTTTAAGAAAGTTTTAGAAACAATGTTAAGTTAGAAGTATAAATATTAGGAATTGTTTAATAACTGCCGACAAAATGATGGTTATTACATAAACTTTGAATTTGAAATTGAAAGAATTATCATAACTATATATGTGTAAATATAATTAGTAGAAAATATCAAAACGTGATAGAATTTTTTCATTACAAACATAGACACTTGTAGTACAAAAAAAAATGTAAATGTAGGCACGATGGGTTCAATTTTTCTCACTGTGCAAGTAAAGAATAAACTTTTTTTTTTTTCCTAAATGAAGGATGTTTTATAAATATCAACAAAATAGTACAAAGGGAAAAAGTAAAGGCATGCCCTTACTTACAAAACAAACCTCAACCTAGCATGGGATGCAACCCAAACAAAGCAAACAAAAACAGAGAGTTACAAAATATCTTGAAGTGTAATCCCCGTTACATCAAGAACCTCCCACAAAATACACTTAGCAAGCTCCTTTGGCTTCCTACACTTGTCATTGTGTAATCTCTCATTCCTTTCCAACCAAATGAAATATAACACAGCAGTGAATAAAATCCTTGCCATTTTGTTGCCCTTCCCTTGAAATTTTTGACTAAAAACCATCGTAAGATTCTGAACCTCAGTAACTCTTTGTAAGTTCCAATCACAAATATCAGAGATATTAGCCCAAACTTGCCAAGTAAAATTACAACCACAGAACAAATGATCTAACGATTCTATATTCTTATAACACAAATTGCATCTAGAAGCAAGTGAGAAACCTCTCCTTTGCAGAAACGAATGTGTGAGAATAGCATTCTGCAGCACTAAAACTGAATGGGTAGACCATCTAGGTCTCCCCCCACTCCAACACAGCCCAGCCCAGCAAACTGGTTGATTAATTTCTCTACAAACCTCCCATGCCGACTTGAAGCTGAAATTATTTTTCCATCTAATTTGATCCTCACCCCCATAAATCTTTTGAGCATGAAAAACCTGTAATACCTCCTGTGAAGTATTCATCAAAATATCATCATTCCATTGTCCATCAAGAATGAACTCATTCAGAAGACTCTTCTTATTCCTGCTTAATTGTCTCAGCAAGTGAAGAATAAACTTGACAACATTGCATGTGAGTAAAAAGATAAAATTGATTTAACAAGAATAATTTGATACTTTAGAATAAAATTTTGGAGGGCATTTTGATTCAATTACAACAATAATTCTAAATAAACACATAATTTTATTGTTTAATTCAATCAAAGTAAAAAATTTGCCCAAAAAAAAAAATTAAATTGAAAAATATAACTTTTAAAAAACACCATTTTATTATTTATTGGTGTTTTATTCCTTTCAAAGTAAAAAAAAAAAAAATAGAGATTTTGGGTCTCACCAAGAGAATTGTAAAAGTTATTTATTAATATATATATATATATAAGTATCATTTATTGCCCATACAGTTTGGTAGCATCTAATGTCATGAGTCAATATTCCAAGCACTTATCCATATGACATGATGTGGACAAAAATGGAAGGCAAGTAAAGAAATTACCAAAAAAAATGAAGACTACCTGTAACATGCTGTGCTTCCATGGAAATCATTATCAAAATTTTCATCCATTTTCGCGCGGACCATGAAATGTGAGCAAACCTAATAGTTGGTACCACGATGTAGAATGGCTCACCAACCCCACCTGCATATATATATTTTATATATATATACACTCACCCTTTATCCTTCTAATCCATTACTGACCATCCCTTTTAAGCAAAATATACAACTTCCATATATTTGTAAAACAAAGTCAACACTTATTATATACATTTTCAGATTGTTGGGAGATTTGATTCAATTTATACAGACACTACAGCTCATGTGACAATCTGGTTCTCTATATTGGGGGCAATGGTTCAATTAAGGAGAATTGTGGGGTTTGAGGCCAACACAGGCCTGGATCAGTTTGAAACCGAGCACAAATAAAGAATCATGATACACCATCCCGACACTGACTTTCTTGACTCACTCACATATGTGTTGAGATTCCGGTGTGGTGGGATCCACCATACATGTGAGTGAGTCAGGGTATCGGTGTCGTTTTTTTTATCATTTTTCTAAATTTGGGTTAATTTCTGATTGGCCAAGTTATACTCGAATTAAAAATTATGACGATTCCCAAACTCATTATTAAAAACTATTTAAACATCAAGTAAATTTTGAATTGACACCTACAAGTTGCACTCCTCTAATGCAGGGGGAAAATATATGTCACTTCAGTTCCACGAATTATAGTTTCAAATGTAGTCATGACCCATGAGAATCATGTTTAAACATTAAGCTCTGACAATCAATCTTTCTTTAATTTTTGTAATTGGAGTCTTAATTGGACAACATTAGTGACAGGACACCATGTGCTCCTATTAGGAAGACGATTGACTAATCAATTATTACTTGTCATTTTACTTATTCAAATTATTTTTAATTGATTTTCACTCACCTTTTCTCCCCTTATTACTGTTTTTTTCTCAATCCATTACTACCTTTCAACTTTGAACTATCTCACAAATTCTAGGGGGTGAAAAACTATTTTACAAATTGACCCTTCATAATTATATTGCTTCTCATCATTAAAAGGTCCTGTGTGTGTGTGTGTGTATATATTTACTGGCAAAGGGAATAATGAATTTATTAACAGTAGGCTAAATTGTACTAATTTTTTGTACTATTATAAAGTTGCAAAATAAATTTCTATATTATTATTTATTTATTTTTGTAATAAACACTAAATTTATCAAATATATCATTTTTTTGTTATTAAAAGTAGTCACACTGCATAAACTGCTTATTTTGAGAAAAAAAAAAATACGCTTACGCGTGCAACAAGGATCCTCAATTTCTCATTTTATAAAATTAATTGTATTCCGTAAATGGTGAAATTGACATTGCCAAAACGTATTTTGGTATAAACAATCCCACGAGTTATGTCTTGTATCAGAATTCCAACTTCCATTGACTAGAGGGGGTAAATTGTAATTTTTAATAAATTGAGGATATCTCTTACTAAAAAAAATTTTAAAGAAATATTTTGTTTCCTTTTCAGATGGTACATAAACTTTAATACAATTTGCCTCAAAAGAGTAGTTAGGAGTAAAAAACATTTGTGATAAAAACCAAAATTATTATAAAAAAAAAAAAATTACCCTGGCCAAATTGACCAAATCCAAACCTTGACTCCAACATGTGGAGAAAAAAAGGATTTAGACTTCTAGTCATACTTTATTGATAATTAGAGTGGTGAAACCCTAAATTGGAGAGCTGAATGAAAATTATTTTTATTTGTTAAATGACATGACATGATAACACTTACCTACCAAACAATGCGACAAAATTACATACAAAAAAAAATTAGGGCTAAGAGGGACAATAATAATAAACAAAGTTTAATAAATAAATAAAAAATGCTCTCACCTACCCCAACAACACCCTTCCGTTGCTGAGGTGTCTCTTTTACCTCTTCCCAATATGTCATTGTCATTGCTTTACCTTTTCATATCCGTCTCTACTCTCTTTGTATATATATATATATATATATATATCCTCCTCGTCACATTCCACCCAATTCATCATCCTCTTATCTCAATCACTTCTCATTTCCCTCCCCTTCTCCCTCCGGTGAAATGGGTAGTTTGGAAACAGAGAGAACAACAACAGGATGGGCAGCAAGAGACCCCTCTGGGGTTCTCGCTCCCTATACCTACACCCTCAGGTAATCTCCTATTAACCCCCTCTATTTTTGAGTAATTATTTGATGTTGTTCAGGGACAAGATTATTTATCACGAAGGAGGAGATATCACTAAGCTACAATATTTAATTATTAATACGAGTAGAATTAGTAACACGGTTGTTTGGGTGAAGACGAATAAAGCAAAATGGGAACATGGGATTGGTGACCCAAATATTGTTGTAACTTATATGTCTCCATTCATTCTTTCTCTCTCTAAAAAAAATTGTACATGTATATTTGTCTGTCTATCTCAGGAACACAGGCCCAGAAGATGTTTTCATCAAGGTCATTTGCTGTGGAGTTTGCCACACTGATATTCATCAAATCAAAAATGATCTCGGCATGTCCACTTACCCCATGGTTCCTGGGTACCTTTCACTCTCTATATATATACATATATATGTATGTATGTATATAGATACACAATTAATCAGACGAATATTTGGGTGTTTGTACTATACGTACTATGTTACCTTAATTGTTGATACTAACATTTATTACTCTTTTTCCTATGTTTACAAAAGTCATGAAGTGGTGGGTGAGGTGGCGGAGGTAGGATCGGATGTGACCAAGTTCAGAGTAGGAGACTGCGTTGGAGTTGGCGCAATCGTTGGATGCTGCAAAAGCTGCCGCCCGTGCAAAGCAGACGTCGAGCAATACTGCAACAAGAAGATCTGGTCCTACAACGACGTCTACACCGATGGCAAGCCTACCCAAGGCGGTTTCGCCGGTGAAATGGTCGTTGATCAAAAGTAATCAAACGCTCTCCCACAATAATCCTCCATGATTCATCATACACTCGCATACACTGGATCACACCTTTTCTTTTTCTTTTTCTTTTTAATTATGGAATGGGAGAGAATATACATCATTATTGCCTCAAACGTGCGCATTTTTTATACTCATAAAATTTCATTTTGAATTCTCTTTTTGTTATTAATATAGTCCAAGAAAAAGGGGCCACTTTGTTCAATTTTTGAAGAATAATCTTTAACAATAAATTTTTCAATTAGTTTAGATTTATTTTACAATCTTGAGTTTGAAATGATTTTTCTATTTTTTAGTTGGTATTCACACGTACTTATGTTTTTTTTTTTTTTTTAAGAAGTTAGAGTCAGATACCACTAAGTTACTGATTTATTGATAGTAGTATACATTAATTATTTTCATTATTTTAAAATCAAAAGAGTAAATTAGAAATATTTTAAAATTAAAAAATTAATTAATTAATTTTTTTTTTTTTTTTTTTTTTTGTTGAGTGGACCAGCATGAACATATTTGTTATTTTCCTGGTCAAAATGGCTGAATTTGTTGTTAATATAAATTTGATTTTTGCGGCAGATTTGTGGTGAAAATACCAGAAGGGATGGCACCGGAGCAGGCGGCGCCGCTACTATGCGCCGGAGTGACAGTGTACAGCCCGTTGACCCATTTCGGGCTGAAAGATGTGGCTGGACTGAGAGGAGGGATATTGGGGCTTGGAGGGGTAGGGCACATGGGGGTGAAGATAGCGAAGGCCATGGGACATCACGTGACTGTCATAAGCTCTTCCGCCAAGAAGAAAGAGGAGGCCATGGACCACCTTGGAGCGGACGACTACCTGGTCAGCTCGGACGCGACTCAGATGCAAGAGGCTGCTGACTCACTGGATTACATCATTGACACAGTGCCTGTGAACCACCCTCTTGAGCCCTACCTTTCTTTGTTGAAACTTGATGGGAAGTTGATTTTAATGGGTGTTATCAATACCCCTCTTCAATTTGTATCCCCCATGGTCATGCTTGGTGAGTAAATTAATACTCTCTCTCTCTCTACTTATATATATATATATATATATCTATATATATATATAACAGTAGCTATTTAGAATTTGCATAATATAAATGAACTGCGTTCTCCAACCAATTATTCGCTGACACATAACTAACGTGTTCATTAGTTTTATGTCAAATTTAACCCACCTTTTATTTATTTGTCAACACCTAATTTTATTAATCGAGATCATATAATATTTTTTAGGGTGTCAGATGTACATGTGAGTCCCACTAAGTTGTATTTGAGGATTCTTAAAGATTTATATTTAGTTAAAAGGTTTCAGTCCAATCAGTTTCTTTAATTTAGAAAATAAATTCAAACCGAGTCTTATACTCTTTATCATCCGTGGTAAAGAAAATGAGCTTAGAAGTCTAAATATGAAGAAAGAGATTCATGTATAGAGGATCGTAACGTATCTATCGATTTCGCAATCTCTTCCCTTTCGTCCTCAATTAGTTTTGTCCACTCAAATTTTGTATTTATCAATTTCGCAATCTCTTCCTCGATTAGTTTTGTCCATTCAAAATTATGTCACGAATGTGTAATCAATCATTTATATCTTGTCACTTGAATAAAATTACAATGACTGTGCTTCAATAATTTCTATTACTTGTCAATTTTTGAATGATAGACCATGGTGAGACAAGGTGGACCCCACAATAGGATTGTGGCTGAGTGTAGACAACAAGAAATGAATAGAATTGTCATTTATTTTTAGTATAATCTTATCACAATGTTTTGTCACGCTTGGAGGACATTTCTTAAATATTACGGCTAATATATGGTGACCCTCTTCATGACACTGCAAGTGCACATATTAAATGATGATACACATGCATATACAAATGCATATATATACACATTTATACTTCTATAAAAATGAGAAACAACGATTATATGCGTACCATTTTGTTGTATCTAATGGTGGGTGCTCTGTTTTTATACGTAATGTAGGGAGGAAGGCCATCACAGGGAGCTTCATCGGCAGCATGAAGGAAACAGAGGAGATGCTGGAGTTCTGCAAAGAGAAGGGCCTCACTTCCACCATCGAAGTCGTGAAAATGGACTACGTAAACACTGCATTGGAGAGGTTGGAGAAGAATGATGTCCGGTACAGATTCGTCGTGGATGTCGCCGGCAGCAACCTCGATCAGTGAACCTGTTGATAGTCTAAAACAAGCCCCTTGTGCACACAAATATACTGAGAGATATATAAAATTTCAAACTCCAATGATATTATAAATCGGGAAATGACAAAGTAGAGTACATTTGTCACCTCGTTTATTAATCATGTAAAAGTCAGAGTGGGATTCATGTAGTTTTGAGGTGCTCTGTCATGGACTAAGAGTGACAACGTGTTGTTTTTGTTTTCGTGTGAAATGAAGTGGTGTTTATTGATGTAAACTTTATTAAGATAATATAAAATATAAGTAATGTTTTGTGGTGATGTTAATTTTTTCTCTATTTTTTTTTTTATTATTATTATTTTTTTTTTTGGTGAGTTTTGGATAAAGATTGAGAGTGAAAGATACCAAACCTATTTGATATGACGTATGAAAGCCTAGTCACAATTGATTATTTGAATGGAGGTGGTGAGTCGATTTTTTCAAAGGTTGGTGAGCATTGTCGCACGTTAATTCAATTGTCCACGTGTGTTGAAACCATTCAATCTATCGAATAATCTCACAGTAAGATGAAAACATTGCTCTCTATTTTGCCTACCCAAGCATAGCTACATATAATAGTTTTGTTATAAATACCGGTTTGGAATTTGGATTGAGATTGTCTACTGTCGGTTGAATTTGTAACTTAAACAAATCAACTTGTATGCTTTCAATGGTAAAGGGCATCTTTAGTGAGTTTGTGACCTCGTTATAGTTGAATTGCACTTTTTGTTTTTTCATTTTTTTTGTTTGACATAAACACCCTCCAATTTTATTTATTATTATTTTTTTAACAAGATAAAAGTTAGAAGTTATATTAGTAAAAACACTAATTCACTGAACTATCAACACATCTGTAAATCCTTTCATATTTATATCAAGAATAATAATATCTTTTCATATAAGGAGTACCAATGCATGAAATGCATTTGTCACTTTTCATCCATGGACCATATTTGCAAAAATCTCTACACCTTTATGTTTCTTTTTATATATTTGGTCTCATTTTCATTTTTCTCTCATTACATAAGGTCTATTTACATAACCATAATGCTATATTTGATGTATATAAATGGAATGGAATATGAGTAGAAATAGAATGAAATTGGGAATGGAAAGAAATTGTCATTCTCAATCATTTTTAATCTATTGTTTGGTTGCAAATATAAAATATGTATGAATGGAATGATAATAAACATTCTAGTGTTTGATGAAAGCAATTTAAAATTTAGAATGAAATAAATTTAAATTAAATTATCCAAAATACTACTGTCAGTGACGAATAAATTAAATTAAGAAAATAACATTATTCTATAATTTTTTTAAAAGAAATTATGGTAGTACTTTTGGATGGCGGTGAAGATGTAGTGAAGGTAGAAAGCGGTAGTGGTGTTGGAAGGCGGCAACGATGGTGGTGGCGAACGGCAGTGGTGTTGGTGGATGGCGGTAGCGATGGTGGAAACAATGATGGTAGTGGTGGAAAGCGTCAATAGGGTGGGCAATGATGGTGGAAAGCAGTGTCGGTGGCAATGGTAGTGGTGTGATGCAGTAGTGATGTAGTGTGGTGGAAGGTAGTGGTAGTGATGGAAGGTAGTGGAGGTGACGATAGCGGGGGTGATGGAAGGCAATGGATACAGTGGCGATGGTGGTGGAAGGTGACCGTGGTGCAATGCAGTGGTGGTGACGTCGGTGGCAGTGGTGCCGATAATGATGACGACGGTGGTGGTGGCGGCGGCAATGACAGTGGTGAAAGGCAATGGAGGTTGCGATGGTCGAAGATGGCAGTGGTGGTGGCAATGGTGGAAGGCAGTGGAGGCGGCTGCGGTGTGGTGGCTATAGGCAACAACAATGGTGGCGGTTGAAGTGACAGTGGTGAAAGGCAATAGAGTTGGCGGCGGTGGTTGTAGTGGAAGGTGGTGGCAGCGATGATGACGGTGGTTGTGGTGGAAGGCAGTGGCGGGGATCGTGGTTTTTAAACTTAGAATATGAGAATTTTTGGGGAACTTGATTTTAAAAAAATAATAATAAAAAATTATTTGGAAATGAAATGACCATTCTATAGGTTTAGTTGTTGAATGAATTTTCATTCTAATAAAATAGTCATTCCTATTTTAAATTGCATATCAAACAAATGAATAATTGAAATGAGCATTCCGTTTCTGCACACTGCAGCATAAAAGAATTAATTGACTTTCTAAGACATAGACCCTAATTTTTAAATAGCACCGTATTTGCTGTCTGAAAAAATATCCAACTCGAAACACAGGATATGCTAGAGTAGTGGAAAGAAAGGGCCTGTCAAAGGGGTTGGAATGCATATGCATGTGGCTCAGCCAAAGTCTTCGGAGCATTTCTTTTTTATTTAAAAGGAAAATATTAGAAGATACCAAACCTAAGTTGATATGTGAAAGCCTCTAACACAATTGACTCTTTTGGATGAAGTTTTAAAGAGTCGACTCTTTCAAAGGTTGGTGAGTTTTGTATCACACTTGGTCTATATATTTCAGCAACCACTATAATTCAATGAGAAGTACAAGTCATCATGTGTTAATTCATTCATAAGATAGGCAGTGACAACCCATTCAATGCATTTCTAGGATTACAAAATTAGGGAACAAAGGTTTGACTACTACTTAAGCACATGGCTTTACATTTCAATTTGAAATGTTGTTGTATTAGTACAATATATATATGAATACCATCTTGTTTTTATAATATTGCGTGTTAATTGTGAACCTTAAATTTAGATAACTTATTCGAAAGAGTGATTTGAATTTTTAGTTCGAAAAAGAATGTCAACTTGTGTTTTTGCAATGGCTTATAGATGAGGGTGCAAGTCTAATGAGAGAGCCACTCATTGTAGCACCTTTTCTTTTTATTTTTTTATTTTTTAATGGTCTTATATATTAATTAGTTGTTTGTTAGAGACAATTAAATCATCTTTCTTGCATTTAATTTTTCTCTTTTAAAAAAGAAAAATGATTTTTTTTTTTTCTAAAATTTAAAAAGTCAAATGAACCTACTGTTACAGAGTTAGATCATTCCAAACTCACATGATGCTTTAGACACGTTCAACACTTGTTTAGAAAAATTTAGAAAGTTTCCCGTTCATATAAGTTGCCATGTCATATCCTGAGTGCTGGACGGAAGCATAGTATAACCTCTACGGGATAACACCTCCTTCTCTAATTAGACTCTCTATTTCATTGTCATAACTCATATAATAGTGTGTATGAGCGATTTTTTTTATTTTTTATTCTCTCATTTAAAAGAAGATCAACATTGGAACAAATGTTACTTTAATCTCTTGCTTGTGAGTTACGGTATCTTTTTCAATTGCATGGACAAAGTCTTCTCTTCTTTCATTTCTATCTCCCTTTTCACCTTTCTTTTCTTCTCTCTTTTCCATGATGTCTCTCAACATATTATATATTGAAAAAAAAAAAAGAAAAGTCAATTGGTGAAAAGTTTGAATGATAAGGAACCCAAATCTTCATATTTGTTAGATAACTAAGACTGAATAAATTAAGTGATGGAAGATCGAGTTGAAGTATTTTTCATTAAATTTTTTTTTGGACAAATTGCATAAATTTTTTTTTTTTCTTTGAATTTTTGGCAAAACACTCCCTGAAGAAAAAATTTAACACAAATCCCCCCAATTATTTAATTTATTGTAGAGTGATATTATAATGACACAAATGCTCTTTAAAATAAATGATTTTTTTATTTTTTCTTTTTTCTTTTTAAATTTTAAAAAATTAAACTGTAAGAAATTTTTTTAAAATGCACACCATTAAAGTGAAATTATAGTACAAAAATAACCTTTAATATAAATTTAAGAAACTTTAGGCTACCTTAAAATGATTTTCATTTGAAGTTAAAAAAAAAAAAAGCAATGATAAGAAAATTATTCCAAGACATTTTCATTTTCTTATAGATGCCACCATTTTAAAAAGTTTGGAAATTTTTTTAAAACCACAATGCCAAATGAGTTACTTGTATTAATTTTAATTTTAATTTTATATTAAGAGAAATCATTTTTTTTTAATTTTATATTAAAAATCATTTGTGTTATAATAACGTCAAACTCCATATATAACTCTTGAACTTAATTGGCATTACTATTTTTATTTTCAATCTTACCTTCATTGTCTATCAGTAGATTTAGATAAGGTCATACCACGCGGGCTGCAATAAAATAAAAGAGTTAATTGGTTTTCTTTTCTTTTTATCTGTTTTTTTTTTTTTTTTTTCAGGGCAAAAAGGGGAAAGAAACAGAAACATCAATAATTGGTTTTCTGATTCACTCCTTATTTTCGTAATCTAAATGATGATAAAGATGATGATTGTTTTCATCACCATTGCGTGGCCTGACGTGGCTTGATGGGTCCCACTTGATCACCAACCCTCTTCAGTCTTCATCCTGTGAAATTCTTTAACCAACGCCAAAGTCCACAAACCCACCTTTTTATACAGTAATATATACCATACAACAAAAGGGAACCCTTTGTGGTTGGTAAAGGATAGTGATGGTTGGTGCTAAATTTTTCACACACCAATAGTGGACTATGATATCACTTTAAATCCGAGAAATTATTAAATAATTTTAATCCATTAATATTTGATGAATCGATTAAATATAGATTCTTAAATTGAAAAAATAATTTCAAGAGAGTATTAATAAATTATAAAGTTTTATAACCGGAGAGTTTTCATTAAATTTATTCACCAGTGTCAAATAGACCAAAATAATCTAATAATTTCTTCTTTCAACACACAATGGGGATCTCTAAACCATGATTAAAGGTCACACCTAATTTTACCAAATGATTGACCACTAAGATTATTTTTAAATATATACACACACAACCACCCTTTTTTTTTTCTGTTTTTTTCTTTTGTTAAGGATGGTTGTTAAAAGCTTTCATTGCAAATTTTATTGAGCTTACAAAGTGACTCATATATGACCATTCTATGACATTAGTGTCTTGCTAATTTTCATATTATTTTAAATAAAAAAATAAAAATAAAATAAAATAAACTAGGTTATGTTGACCAAACGTAAACCAAGCATATGAGTTTAACTGTATTGCAATCAGACGGTCATGAATTAATTAACCATTTCCCAAAGGAAAAGTTAGAAAGTCCAATACAGACTTTCCAACACTGATACTCCCTTTGGGGGGCACCCCACAGCCGTGGATCAATTCGAATTCCGACCATCTGATTCACATTTATGAACAATATTCTTGTAAGCTCCGAAATTTATTTTACTCATAATTTTCTACAGAAATTTTCTATTTTGTCAGACAGTTCCTGCCTAGGTATCCACTGCTTATAGCCTCATTTCTAACTATACCTTAAAAACAAAAACAAAAAACAAAAAACAAAAAATATAACAACCACCTACTCTTTTTTCAATTACTTAGAATCCACTACATAAGGCTTCATTACTAACTCTACCTAGCTTTAATCTTCCTCTTCAGGTTAAATTTATTTTTCCTCTTCTCCTTAAATTATTCTCAACGTGGACAATGTCATTTTTTAAACCAGCTCACTTAAAGGACTTCTTTGTACATATCCAACCTATCTTAACCAGTTCTGTGTCGTATTATCTCTGATTGATGCTCTCCAAAACGTGATTATTTATAATTAATTCTATCCTTTCTAGTATTATCATACATCCATCTCAACATTTGGTACCATAAAGTATAGTTCTTAAATAATAGTAATAAAAAATTAAACTAAAATAAAATAAAATGAATCCCCGTGCAACTCCTACAAGGATACAATCAGATTCTCGACACACAGCAGCATAACCAATCATCCTCAGTTATTGGATTTCAAGTATTCTCTAACCCAACTTTTAAGCAGGAGAGTCCCACACTACCAAAGCTTAATTTTGATAGTATTCTCTATATTGCCCATAACCAATCTAGCTATATACCTCCTGCACACATTTGGATAGTAGTAAGAGTTGTAGAATAACACAAATTAATTCTAGCCTACTTTAGAATATAATCAACAGTCTGAAATGAAAAATGAGATAAGACCTTATCCTCAATCCACACCCATTTTAACAATTCCTATACATCAAGGCAGATCTGAGTTAAGAACTTACAACAGGTACAGTCAATTTTTTAGTCTTCAATGAATGTGGGATTAGAACAACAAAAATTGCAACAAGAAAAGAAAAGAAAAGGGAAAATGTTATGGGGCAAAATCATTACATTCAACAGATTTATAATTAACAGATTTTCTTTTCACATGGAAAAAACACTTTATGGCTTGACTTCACTTGGTTACGTAAAAGGCCTGCAGAGAATACCTACGGTAGCTTTTCCATGCTGGTGAATCGATCTTTGTCTTCCCCTATGCATATAAGAGAACCAATCCTGTAGCCGAAAAGCCTTTCCTACATTCTCGCTTGTCTGAACTAGTTACATCCCCATATAATGTGCTATTTGACAGTGTGTTAGCCACCGTGAATCATAACCGTCGACTGAAGTGGATGTTCATGAAGTATCTTGACGGATTAAAGCCACTCAGAATCACTACAAAGAAAACAACAAATTAATTTTCAGTCGCACTAAACTCGCAAAGCTTCAGGATATACCATCAGTGATGATATGTAACACTTACATATAGGTGAAAGAACGATGACCACACCAATTGGATACAGAAAAAAGGTGGTCCTTTCTAGGAACGGCAATACTGCATCAGGAGACACACCATCAGAACACTCATCTATGAAAACAATCTATCTACTACAAGAAATGGAAGCTTTATCAGCCAATCTGAGCAAACAATTAAATAGAAATGTTTCCGCAACCATAGGCTTACCATTAGTTTTCTATATTTCATTACATAATAAAGGTAATCCATTCAGATTTACAAGATATGAGATTCTTTTTCTTTTTACTTATTGATATATAATGGCAGTGACTTTATTTTTCACTTGAACAGTTAAATGGGAAGCACATAGGTATGCCCCTGGACCAATATTTCAGCTCCCAGAGGAGCTCCTGAATAAAAACAAAATCAATCTCAACTATAAAAAAAAACTGCCATGAACAATAGTGAGTATACAAAGAAAGAAGTTATTCGCCCGAAATCTAGAACAGAAATGGCATGCATTAACCAGGCCCACCCGCAGTTTGATAAAAGCAATAGCCGCAGTTTGATAAAAGTAATAGGAAAATTTCACTTGTTACATAACTGAATCAATCTGAGGATCCCTGCCACGAAATCACAAGTATCCATAAACTTAGTCCAGAAAAACTCTGTATGTCAAACAAGGATGATATGATTGGGTGATTGAGAGAATATGTTGTTCTAGATTGATCCGACTGAATTCAACAGTTAAAAGTTCCCGAAGCAAGATGCTTGCCATGCATTGTATAAGAATTAAGGAGTTCTCTCATCCAACCAATTGGACCTGAGTATTGCGCATTTCCTCCAAAAATAAAAGGACATTACTATCGAGAAACAAGATTTACATACCATCATAACCTAAAAAGTTGAGATAATGATAGTATGACGATGCCACCATAAATAGCAAATTTGACACCAAAACAGGAATGAAACCATGAGCTACCAACAGGGGTGATAGGAAATAATGTATCACTGCCAAAAAAAAAGCCAACATCAGTAACATTCCGGTGCATAAATTGAAATGAAAAATATCCATAAGCAAAATACAATAACAACTTCACAATTACCATAAAGCATCACAAACATTGGGAAGAGAGAGTTGCAGTGCACATCAAACGCATACAACCTTCACGAGAGAGAGGAAAAGGGCAAAAAAAATTTAGTTCATGTTACTCAATTAGAATGGAATATCCAAGAAATGCAAGGATGAGCTTGTCTTGGATGCTAAAGTAAGAAAAGCATAGACAAGTGCAGGCAGCATTAATCATTTTTACACTTCAAAACACCCGCACAAAGACTGTAAAATTTACTGCCAAGCAGTAATACACTAGTACAACTTGGTTAAAACTGAAAAAGTGGGGAAGTGGAAAGGTTCCGAACTTGCCATTCAACCCTTTGCTCCACTACATGACTGTTCAGAGCTTCCTCTCGAAGATAAGTATTTGTCAGGAACCTGCATTAATATTACAAACAAAATTTGGCATCATACAAGCGTTTCTGTATCTATAATGTCTAACATCTATTAATACACATGTTGACAGGTTTATACAAAGGGAAAATAAAATTTAGGATAAACTTTTAAGCCCCAACCATGCCCTTTGAAAATTGAGATTATCCAGAACATATCATAGAACTAGCCTTAAATTTCACCCCAAAAAAATTTGTCCTGGGCAGGTGCCAGAAATTAGTAGTATGAATGCATAAATATAAGAACAATGGTATGGTATGTACATTAGTACAGCTAACATCAAGAAAACAGAAGTAACAGGAGTATCTTCAATAATAAGACAATTATGGTGTATTCTTAATGAGCAGTGGCTCTTACCAACAACATGTGGCTAGAATGAATCCAGTTGTTAAAAAATGAAAGAGCAATACTGAAATAACTACAAAAACAGCATGTGCCAAACTGTGATCATACCTGGAATAAAAAAAAGAGAGCAAACTACGATCAGAATCAGAATGAAGAGACATTAGTACTACTTGAATAAGGTTTGAACATTTGAACAGTCAAGAAGTACAAAAAAATAATAAAATAATACAACTCCAAAATTTGAGCCATGAATTTACTAGACTCAAAGAAGGTAAACTACATTCAAGATGAAGTATTTACCTTTGTGCAAATACATATTTGTCAAATATCCAACTTTTAGTAACTCTCTGATGGCAAATCTGACAAGATTTTCTTGCCAAAGAAGCTCAAGAAATGGGGTTTCATACATGAGATTCTTAAACATCAAAATTTTGATCAGCAAGTACATGAGAAACTTACGCAACGCAATAAGCCATAGTAGAAACTGATAATAGAAGACTGAAGATTACAACAAAGGCTGGATCATCACGCGCCCATTGATTCTTGGTTTCTGAGACCCCCAAAAAAAAAAAAAAATAAGGTGAACAACTATCCAATTCAAACTGTTGAAAGTAGCAAAATTTTAAATTCCCCACATTTTAAGTAGTGCACATACAACAAAGTTAATCCAGATATAACTTCAAGCAGAAAAATCAACAAGGTTAAATGAACAACTTCTGCCTCCCGCCGTCGGAAATAACCAGGGAGACGACAAGCACAGAACAGATCATAACAAAGCTAAAAGATATGCCATCTAATTTTAAGAAAAACTGTAATAAAGAAAAAAATAAAAAATAAAAAAAATCGTAAACTAACAGTATTCTCATTTCAGCTGATAATTCATATTTAAAAGGACTATTATTAAATTTTATCATATTTTCTACAGGTTATATCAATCAAAGTTTCATCTCTAACAGATGAATTGAGAAACCATTAGCTCTTAACGTTACTCAAATAAATTTATTGATATTTTGGACATTTCCTATTTCCGGAAAAGGTAAAGATTTTTGTTACATCTTTTAATAAATTCACACTCTTTGTCTGCTTAACATTACTGGCTGACACACGTTCAAAGCGGAACCTAAAGAGCTTGATATTCTTTCCAACTGGGATCTTGCATGACTTGTGGAATTTTAGGCTTCCCAAACGGGATAATCATTTCTTTCTTTTATTAGGAAATTATATTTTTATTAAGTCATTCAAAAAAAATTTGTATGCGAATGAATCAATTAAGTCCAAATTGAGCTCCCAAAACTTGCTAATTTTCTTATATATCAACGCGCCTCTCATTATTGGGATTTTGGTACTATTGATGTCCTTTTTCCACCAAAAGTCTCATTCAAATCCTCCAAAAATTTCCAACATTTCAATTCCAGAAAAAATTACATATTTATAGTCAAAATCAAAATTTTCATTGGAATTTCCATCTAAATATCTTTCTTTAATTCAGATAGTCAGATACCAATTAAATAATAATCCAAGATTTTTGAACAAAAATCTATAGTACATGCAGAATAAAGAGATACGCAGTATACTTAATGTGAAATCAAGAAAATTGTGTTACATCCATATAGGACATTTCAAGAGTAAATTTTTTAAACCATATATAGGTCATCATCACCAATACATTGAAACTGCAAGTTAAAGACGTGCACACAACAATTGCATCCTAGGAACTATTTATTTTTGGTATGGCACACCAAAATAGTCACTGTACTTTAGAGAGATTATGTACTTTAGAGTTTTTACTTTTTTAAGAAACATCTTCAATTCTTCATGAACTAATTTATGTTTGCTCACTCAAGTGCTTATCATGCAAAAGATATTTGTGTGTGTGTGTATGTATGCATGCATGCCTATACTAGAAATCCTACTATGTCAAGGAAGAAAAAACAACTGCTGCATTTGCCTTTGAAACCAAGCCAACTGTGGACTCTGTTTCAAGCCGAAATTTCAAGATTTCAAAGATAAAAATTATTCCTACAGACAAATGTAGCTATTTTAGATAGAAAGAGCCACAAAATTCGCATATGACAGCCAAATAAAAAGGTCAAATACTTGAACAGTAATAACTGCACAACACCAAAATTTGGCTTTACAGAAAAAGACATCAACACTAACCAGATGATAGCTAGAAAAAGGATAGTAGAAGGCACACTTACGCTTGTGGTATTTTGTGTGCTGGTAGCTGAATCCATCATACAGTTCCACATGCAAAATGTAAAATCAATATAATTAGGAAGTTCCAGAAAACAAAATTTTTTTGGTAATGAAAAAACAAAAATAGAAGTGTATTCATAAACACCCAATTTTTTAGTTAGATTCCAGGACTGATTTACCCATGGGCAAGATAACCTAACAAGGATTTCCCAATACAACTCTAACCAAGATCAGGGGCTGAACTATTAAGGGCAAGATTACCTATAATTTTTATTAAAATCCTAAAAATGTCCCAACTCAATTTTGATAGTACTCCATTATATATTCTTGTTGTTCAAGTGAGACTCCTTTCGTAAAATTTTCTAGGTCCATCACTGACCAAGATAATGATAAGGTCACACAGAATGAGGTATAGATCCCTCTCTTACTCATCCAAGCCGCTACACATTTTATCAATTGGCAATGTGAAATTTGATAGAAAAATAAAAGTTAACGGGATAACTAAACCGACTAAATACTTAGTTCTTCATCAACCATTTTGAAAATTATTAGGAACAATGTGACTCCAAATATTAGCTAGAAGAACTTGAAAAGACAGATAAATAGATGGACAACAAAACTTTTAACAATTACTTCTAAGGCTGACTGATACAATGATGGAGATTTTTTTTTTCCCTGGCAAAGAACTCCTACAGCGCTCTTGGGGAGACTTGAACCCACCAGGCCATAGGCCTCGGTGATAATGGAGATTTATTAAGCTAATTTTTAGCAGGGGAAAAAAAAATCAAAGCATACACCGAATTAAGAAATGTTTTTCACTCTCTCCTTTGCACTAACGGAAGTCAATAAAGAGTGAAATGGTCATATCAGTTAAATCAAAATCTGAGCAAGCATGAGTAGAAGAAGTGTAAGCAGGAAATGCAAAGAGGCGTCAATATATTATATTATTTAAAATAGAGCACGCAAAAAATGAGAAGATTCTAATGCTTGATCTAGTAGGAACCACAGACCTTGAAAGATAAATACATTTAGGAAGAAAAGGAAAGAAGAGAGAGAGAGAGAGAGAGAGAGAGAGAGAAAGAGAGAAGGATAGCTCCAATGATAGTTTCAGTACACTCGATCTCTTGCTTTGGCATGAAATGACCACCTAGGAAGAACGGATACGGATGACTGACACGGATACAAGAAGATACAGACAAATCATGGAAATTCTTTAAAAAGTTAGGATGGATGGGGTGAGACAACAAATGATAAACCTATATTTTAATATATATGATTATAAAATAAAATTGCACTTGTATAAGTAAAGTTTACATAATTTGAAAAGAAAATGAAGTATGAGTATGTATCACTTCACTTGTCTTACAAAAAGTACGCAAACCAGAAGAACCCCACTAGAAAATATTCTTCTAAGAATGAACAAATTGGCTGCCTTTCAAAAATGCATCTCTTAACACCTAACAAGCTCACTGATACGAGATGACACACAACAACTAATAAATACATCTTTTTATATATCTGATCCTATGTTTTAAGAGTAATATTATTTTTCATCAACATAATAATGAAAACTTCACAAATCATAATAATTAATGAGTTATAAAAATAATTAGTTTCTTGTTTAAAGAACTACACGGTTGAATCTACTCCACAGAAACAATATCAATTGTTTTTAAAACCAAAAATTTGAAATATTTTATGTTATGATTGTTATATTATTAAAATTGTTCAAAGAAGTCATCATATTTACACTTTAACCCTTCTTTCTTTTTAAAACTTTCTTAAAAGTCTCTAACAGTGTGACACGACCGTAGGACACTTGTCTATGGCGTGCCTGTACCATGTCCGCAGCATGTCTGAAAATGTAAAAAACAAATAATTCCAAACACGTCTTTGGCGAGTCTGATGTGTGTCTGATTCTCTGACCTTCTAAGCGTGTCTGTTCTTCCTAGCTCAACACAATTTCTCCCGCATCATTCCATTCACCATATACTCTTATCTTTCATATGACTACAACGAGGATCATAATCATGTGCAGCTCATGCATGCGAACCATAACTCATTCTCCATCATGGACACTAAAAAGGACCCTAGTGGACATGTCGGTGCTTCCTAGTTGGCTTTATAATTATCTAGTAATAGTACAATAATTGCATTCTTCTACGAAAACAACAAAATCTCCCTGAGATTTGATCAAACTGACATCCAATCTCAACTATTATTGAGTAATTAAATATGAATTACCCTTTAGCATGTGTGACTAGCAAGTTCATATTCAAAAGCTAGGTCAATAAGTACAAAGTGCATTACAAAAACAATATCAAGAATAATAGCTACTATTTTTACTACAATTAGAATATTAGTACTACTACCATTACAACAACAATATCAAGAATAACGTAAATGAAAGAAAAGCTAAAATACGTACACAACTTTAGGCGAAGTGCATAGATGAAGCATTTGCCAGAAAGTATATTCAATATCCATTTGTTGCCACTACAGTGAACCAGCCAAGAGAAAATTTGTTAAAATATGTATATATATATATATATAAATAAGTAGAACAAATCCAATGAAAATACAACAAAAGAATAACAAGTAGCACCGACTTTTATTAAGCTTCCAATTCCCTGATATATTCTTGATATTTTGCACAAAATATTCCAATGCAACAATGTACTCTTGCTAAGCCATGTGACCAGCAAGGTCAAAGTGTATCCACCATGGAGCTCCACAAATGCACAACATAAGGATTCTATGAAGCTCAACCACACCCACTTCTTTTTCAACATACTTACTATTGCTTACGAGCTTATTATCATAAGCATACTTATCAAAACCAAACTTACTTATGCCCTCAACAGTCGATATCATCACCTCGCATCTTACCTTCGACAGACATTATTATCTCCAGCAAACATACTGTTTCTGCCTTCTCTGCAAACAACTGCATATATGATGATGTCTTTAACAGAGCTCAATTGCGAACTTCTCCAGCCACATAATCCCTATGTTAGTCGTCTAATTATTATTATTATCTTCATACGTCTCTAATTAATATTATTATCATAGAGGTCGTGGAGAGGAGATTTATGTCGGCAGATCCTGAATTGGTGTTAATTGGAACACTGTTGAAGTTCTGCCTTTCTTTAGCTTATGTGTTCTTCGTCTCTGCATGCAACAGCTCTGCTGTCTCCACCAGCAGAGCACCAACCACCAATTCCATCTAGGGAATTGAGAGAACTTCACTGGATATTCCACTAAATATCAACCACCAATTCCAGCTAGAGAAAGTTAAGAGGACTAAAGAACATGTTATTACAAAACCCAAAACAGCATGGTATTCAACTGCACCAGAAACAATCTATCTGCTAAATCATAGGTCACGAGACCTCATTTTCGGAATTTATGTTCTGAGTACAGCACTCTTACCAAAAGCCAAGTGTTCACCCACTGTCCCCATACTATTTTTTCCATTTTTGGTAAGTAAGTCGCACACGCCCACAATTTCCCCCTTGTGGGGATTTGAACCCTCTACTTTCCACTTGAAAAATAGAGGAGATACCACTAGAGCTAAGCTCGTGGAAATGCCGGAATTCACCTAATCTACTGGAAATAAGCTAATCATTCACATCTACAGCAAACCCACATCAGAATAATTTCTTAGAAAATATCTATTCAGTTTGCATTCATCACAAACCCCAAAAACTAGAAAACAAACCCCAGAAAATAGAAGAGTAGAAATTCACCAGTAGTGTGCCATCATGATTGCATCTATATGCAAAATTCGACTTTAATTTTCTAAAACAGTACATAAATCGGATACTCCTTTATTCCCTATGGAATGTGATGTGCATAAAACAACAGTAGCTGGCAAAAGGACACAAACACATTTTCGAAATTCAATACAGAAACAATTTGATTAGGGTGAAGATCAGATCTAAGGTCCGCAGAATTTGAGAATAGACAAACCCAAGACAAAGACATATAGAGAGAGAGAGAGAAATGGAGGATCCGAACCTTGATTATTCTTCGAAGGTATTGAGGAAAGACGGGATTGGGTCGAACGTGAGAGGGCGTACGCCCTTTTGATGTTGTGGGAAGCATTTTCCTGTTCTTATTCGTCACTCTTTCGATCAAAGATCTGTTGAATTTCTCTACCCTCTCTCTCTCTTTCTCCCTCTGCTAACTGTTTAAGCTCAAATCGGAGGACTCTCTCTCTCTACGTCTCTGATTATAGATCGGAGATTGAGCGGGTTGGCTCTCGACCCAGCCCAAGTGTTTCGTTACAAAAGCTTGGGCTAAATAAATGAGGCCCATAAAAATCAAATCTTAAGAAAAACATTTGGAGAATAATGGACTATCAATCACCATGTCCAATGTGAATTGTCTTTGGTCCACGTGGATGTGGATTTGGATTCTCTTGAAGAGAATCCAATTATAAAAACATGTCACATCATTATTTGCGAAACGATCCACTATGTTGGCTTTATACACGATTTTATTTAAGCAAAAATGATGATGGAGTGTTCTTGTAACCGTCCTTGAAAATATTTGGAGATATAAAATATTGGAGAAGATCCATGTCCTATGTGAATTATGTGAATTGTCTTTGGGCCATCATCATCTCCTACTGTTCTCCTCTCTTTCCTAAGCTTTAGAGGAATTTGAAGGTAAAAGAAAGGAAATGATAGTAACGAGTGTGTTTGAATGGGAGGAATGGGAGAGAAAAGAAAGGATTTGGAGAGATTTGGAGGAATAGCAATCCCTCCAAATCCCTTATTTGGAATCCCTCCAAAATTAACAAGATTTGGAGGAATTTGGAGAGAAATGGAGCAAATTAAAAAATCAACCTCGAGAGAAGGGGCAAGCTTGGTTGAGAGACAAGATAAAATGATAAATTATTCATTCCTTTCTTTTATTTTTTATCCATCCAAACAAGAATATTATATATTCATTTATTTTCTCCCATATCCATCCAAACATGAATATTATTATATCTATCATTTTCTTTCTTTTCTTTTCTTTTATTTTCTCTCATAATCCTTTCCTTTTTTTTTTTCTCTCTTATGTATCCAAACGAAGCCTAAGTAGATTAGAAATATGCTTATAAAAATTTTAGTATTACATAATTTGCATCTCCAACAGTATGTTAAAATACTTTTTTTTGTATAAAATATACACTGCCACCTATGATCGTGTAAATTTTTTCCATCTCCAACAGCCTATTAAAATACATTGCCACATCACTAATGTATAAAAAAGTTGTGTATTTTACACAATCTTTTTACACTGATCAACATATTTCCTTTTTCATCCCTCTTTCTCATTCCATTAAAAAATCAACCATATATATAAGTAGGTTTGTAAAAGTTATGTGAGGTCCTGGCATGACATATGGTTGGTTGTTATAAAAGTTTTGTGGGGTCCTGGTATGATACATAGTTGGTTGTTATTAGGAGATATATTTTTACGCAAAACATATAAAACAACTGTTGGAGTTAAAATTAAATAATCTTATTTTTACACAAAACGTATAAACACAACCGTTCGAACTAAAATTAAATAATCCAAATTTTTTGTGTAAATCCATCATGACACGTCAGATTTACCCAAAAATATATATATATATATACATAACGGTTGGGGATGTTCTTAGTGGTTTTTTTTCTTTTTTGAATTATATACTTATGAAATTTTAATAATAATAAAAATAAAAAATAAAAAGAACCATTATTACTCCACCTCACATAATTTTCCGCTTGTACTGTATATGAGGTGTGGTAAAGCTGCACAATCTATTGTTCATATATGCTTTTGTTTCTGTCCTATTGCGAGGATGGTAGGAAGAGCTAATCATTTTCTCCAAGTAATGAAGCTAAAATCATTTGATCCAATAGTTAAAGTTTTCTGTGATGATATGGAGTTTGCTTAATTCCAATAGACAATGGAGTTTGTTGTGGTGTCATAGAGTGTGCAATAATATGGCTGCTGATTTGCTTTGGGTTAAAAAAAGAAATTTAAAATGTGGGATCTTCTCAGTAAAAAAATATACTCAAGAATAAATAATAATAATAATAATAATAATAATAAATTGAATGGAAATAGTAGAGCATTTCTTAAAATAATAGAGATCATGTTTTATATATTAAAATTCATTTACAAGTAAAAGATAATTCTAATTGTATAAAAACCAAACTATTCAAACTATAAAATTTTATTCTCATCTTACTCATTAGAAAACATGTTGTCCAAATTTTGTAATAATAAAAAAATAATAATAATAAAAATGAAGCAGCAGATTTAAAAGAATGCAGAATCACCTAAATCAACTGCAAAAATCAGAAAAGAACTTGCACATGAGATTGAAGGTCTTCCTTTTTTGTTCCTTTTCTGATAAATTTGGTGGGTGACCCAAAAAAGTTACCATTTGATTCAAATATGCTCTTTTTTTATGTGTTTCTATAATTATCATTCCCTAATTCAAAATCAAAATCAATTATGTTATGTTCCGGAATATCAAATGGTGCCTAAATGATATTCTAAATATAGTATTTGTAATTAGATAATGTTTAGAGCAATTCCAAGGGATATGTCAAATCCTATGTGGCATTTGGCATACCATCAAACATGTCAAATTTAGCATATAAAAGTGGTATGCCAAATAAAAAATTTCCATTATTTTAGTCTATAAATCTCACAAACAATTTAAATTTGGCATATTAAACATCTCCACCCGAAATTTCAAATATTAATAAACTAATAAATTTGACATATCATAAAAGTATGATAAAATATCATATCTCAATTTGCCACATCCTCACCATTAATGTGGAGCATCTCTCTCTTATATATCTTGTGCTTCCAAATTAGTATTAATGTTCCAATAATGGGGCATAGCGGCAAAAATACTTTAGTATGAATGTTGATTACTAAAAAATATCAATGCATATCCCATGGGTAACTATTTTACAAAAATAATAGTAATAATAATTGAGAAAATCTTTTTAATAAAGAAAAATATACTCAAGAATAAAATTTAAAAAATCAATTGAAATAATAAAATATTTCTTAAAATAATAGAGAATATGTTTTATATATAAATAAAAAAAATCATTTATTAGTAAAAAATATCCGAATTGTATTAAATGTGTTAGAAAAAACAAATCAACCAACCATAGACGCCAAGACCTAAAAACATAGCCGACGAGCTAGGCTAAAAGGATAACTACCAATATAGGCAAAAAGACAATAATACCCCCAAAAAAAACAGTTGTCCAATTCCAAAATTTGTACGGTCGGGTACAGTCCGTACCACCAGCTATAATGACATCATTCGTATCCCCACCTTCAAAGTGTATACGGAGTATTTTTATTTTAAACTGTCACACCACTTTCAAAAAATTGAATCCAACCAAGAAATAAAAGTAGGAATATTTTTTTTTTAATAAAAGCACATTTAAAAGACTGCAGAACCAAAAGAACTTGTAAAAATAAGATTGAAGGAGGTCATCCTTTTTGTTCCTTTTCTGATAAATTTGGTGCCCCAAAACAAAGATACCAATGTCAATTCAAATTTGCTCCAAATTTTTAATTTTTTTTATTTTTTTTTATGGATTTCTATAATTATCATCCCCTAAAACCCAAAATTCAAAATCAAAATCAACTAATAATTTATAATCCTCTTCCGATTCATCTTCTCTGCAAGACTGCAACTCCAATCAACAAAACTTGAATTTCCTACTCTGCCCCTATCTCTGTCTTCCCCTCTGTTTTTGTACACCACCAAGCAAGTTCAACTCCAAGAGAAAACATACCCAAAATCAGTTCTTTTTTGAACCCAAATCTCTGTACCCTCATTCAACTCCAACCACATTCTCCGATTCATCAATCAATCTTGCTGATTCCGATCCGTTTAACCCCTGCATTCCTCACACCACTCTCACTCTGCAAACTTTCAGACTCCAGTTCCGAGATGCAATTCCTCACTTCCTTCTTGATCATCTCTCGCATCACTGACAGAAACTCAGGCCCAAACGACATCGTCTGATGCCCCTCTGATGGAGGAGGTGTTCCCAATTCGTCGCTCTGGCTACGGCGGTGAGTCGGCTGAGTCGAGTTGTGGTCTTGAATCTTGTACGAGTGTGAATCGTCGTCTCCCGGAGGAAATAGAGAGAGTGTGAGTGCTGTAGGAGGATCAATTTGTGGCTTCCACGCCGGTGGCGCCGTCGACTCCACCACCTGTTGCGGTGGTTGATAGATTACAGGTCGATACACATTCATAAGATGAATGCCGGAATCACTGACGTCCGAACCAGTCGGACTCTCTGGACTCAAACGCAAACCACCAGAGATGGTCTTCGTCACATCACCGCTATCCGCTCGCCTCAACACCTGAACCGGCCGCTCATCCCCACCGCCGCCGACCAACGCCGAGTGCTTCCTCTTCAACGTCGAGTTCCAGTGGTTCTTGATCGCGTTATCAGTGCGACCGTTGTTGAGGAGCCTCGCGATCGTCGCCCACTTGTTCCCAAACCTCGCGTGCGCCTGAATAATGATCTTGTCCTCCTCCGGCGTGAACGCGCGGTGCTCCACCTCCGGCGACAGCTGATTACACCACCGGAGACGACAAGACTTGCCGGACCTCCCCGGAATCGACCTGGAAATCAACGTCCAGTTCCGAGCGCCGTGCCGTTGCACGAGCTGTCGCAACGACTCGTCCTCTTCGGGACTCCACGTACCCTTGATCCGATCCACAAACGAAGACTCCATTGCCAAATCTCTGTTCTCCATTGAAATCCAAATACAAACCCTAACCCTAATATATATGTATGTAGTTTTAGAGAGAGAAAGTGGTAAAGACGTAGACACAGAGAGAGGTCGAAAGGGAGAAGGGGTTTATAAGGGGGGAGGGGATTAGGGTAACGGATTGAACCGGTGAAGAGGAGGGAGAGCGTTGTTATGGTTACCGGTTTTTGAGAGAAGGCGGTTAGACTGGGTACAGCTGTGAAGTGACACGTGTCGAGAGGTGATTAGTTGGATTGGGGGAGTGTCTCGCTGAAATATCTCACCAGAATGGAACGTCTCGAGAGGGGAGTTATATTTTTTTACCTGTATTGACTACTCGTACGGTTATGGAAGTTACTGAGACGGTGAAAAGAGAGAGAGAAAGGGAGGAGTGTTCTAGAACGGGAATATATCGCGATATTTTGGGGGTTGGAAGAAGAGGATAAGATTGAGTGTGCCAGGCTGGAGAACACTAACGTGATGTATTTGAGTTGTTTTGAGTCTACCCGTTTTGAATACTATGAGTCTATGCCTAACGTCCGTTTTTTTTTTTTTTTTTTTTTTTTTTCTTGACTCCTATATTTTGGAATAAATTTTATTTAGATTTTTCAAATATGTACAATTCTTTACTTTTCATAATTTTACTTGGCTCCCCTATTAATGACTTTTTTTTTTTTTTTTATCATTTTGTTCTTTAAATGTTTGTAATTATTTCAGACATTAGAAAAACAAAATAGATATTAAGTCGAAACTTTAAAAGAGATAACTGAAATTATAAAACGTAAAGATAATAAAGATTTATGTAGGATATTACAAACGAGATATTTTGAAAGACTATCAAGTGAATCCGAAATAGTGAGGTCCATTGTGTTTGCAAGGTTCATACTAAAGCATACTCATGTTGGCACGGACTCATTTGAGAAATTATTGGATTACTAAATATCTCCATCCAATCAATTCATCTAATCAAAACAATTAATTAGGTGAGGTATTCAATAAATGGTACCCTCGAAGTATTGTATATATATTTTTTTCACATAGGAATGAGTCCACATCCTCGATCAAGGGTGGGCATGTGAAAGAAGCAATTGAGTCGGTGTCGTAAAGGTAGTCAAGATTTATGTAGGATATTGACAAACGAGATAAATCAAATTTACCTGTAATTTTTCAATGCATTGGACCAACAAGTGAATCCAAAATAGTGAGGTCCGTTGTGTTTACGAGTATAATTGAGCAATGATACTCATGTTGGCATGGACTCATTTGAAAAATTATTGGGTTACTAAAATATTTCCATCCAATTAATTTATCTAATCAACACAGCTAATTAGGTGAGGTATTCAATAAGTGGTACTCTTGAAGTTTTGTATATTTTTTTCACATAGGAATGAGTCCCACCACATCCATCAATCGAGGGTGGGCATGTGAAAGAACCAATTAAGTCACTACTCTCAGATTTTGAAATTTTCACTAGTGTCAACTTTACTTTTGTTTATATATTTTGCCTTCACATAAATTTTTTTTTTATTACATTTTATATCTTTAAAATTGTACTTTTTTTTATATTTATACTTATAAAAATTTGAAATTACCATCATTGAAATTATGAAAAAAAAAAAAAAAACCTCCATATAAATTCCCCCTTCAAACTTGTTAAAAAAATTAAATATTAAAGTTGCACATTCTTTAGTAACTTAAATTTTTAAAGTAAATGATAGTTAACACGTTCAACTTCCAAATATGTACTCGCTACTTTAGGTGTAGCGAAAAAAAAAAAAAGAAAAAAAGAAAAAGAAAAAGAAAACTATTACTCTTATGAGATGTACTGTTGATTTATTGCAATTAAGAAAAAAACCATTATGACTGGCAATCAATTTCACTTTAATGATAACAAAAAGAATTTGATAAAGTTTGAGCAGAGCATATAATTTATTATAAATCAATTTTAATTATTTAATATAAAATTCTAGTTGATGAATTTTGTTCATTGTGGTAGTAAAGGACTGAAAAGATAAAATCTTTTAAATATAGTAGTATACAGACAGTTAGCTCTTAGGGCGTTAGTTTAGTGGTAACTTTCATATTAAAAAAAAAAAAAAAAAAAAAAAAAAAAAAAACCAGATGGGGTATGGACTGACACTGTGCCAGAAGGAAGAAGACGCTCCAAAAGCCTACTACCGTTCACCGGTAGTGACGGTCACCACCGACTTGACTGTCAACTTTGATTAATTTCCTATTAAGTACTAGTAGTGGTTTAAATTTTAAATTTTAAATTTTAAACTAGATTGTAAAATACGTACTAGAATTAAGGTTAACGTTGAAGAATTATAGAATTGAGTGTTGACCAAAAAGGTTAAGAAGATCAACGGATTGATTAGTACAACAACTAATTATCGTTTGTTTACTACCAAATCTAACGCTTATATTGTTCTGTTCTACCAACCTACGACTTCTTAACTTCACGCGGTTGTTCAACTGCTGGATGGATGACGTTAAACGAGCCGTGTGGAACAATTACGACGGTCCACGAATTTTGACTATCATTTCAGTTGGAAATTTTGTTTCTCGGTGAGATGGAACTAGCAGGAAATAAAATAAAAAAAGGAAAAGGAATCGAATTTTTTTTTTTTTTTTACCGTTTTGGATATAAAACATAAGAAAATTCTAATTTCAAGTACGACTTGTGACTTTATATTTTAAATTTTTACTATGTTTCTTATAAATTGGTGATTCTATTATCTGTTTACCTTTATATTTCTAATAGATTTTTATATACCAATTAACTAAGAGTATTTCTAACAATATGTTAAAATATAGGGTTAATTACACATCCTCCGAAGTTTAACATATTGACAGTCATATATAACTTAACTGTTTTTGGACAAAGACACCCCCTGTGATTTTTTTGATCCAAACAAGTCCTTAAAACATTAGAAAAGACGAGATTGCCCTTCAATATTTAATTCAATTTTATTATAAAATATCAGAACTCATGAAAAGACAAATTTGTTCTTATATATATATATATATATATATATATATATATATATTATTACTCTTATATATATAAACAACTATGGCCGCCCCTCTCTTTCTACCGCCACCATCACCATCCCTCTCATCTCCCTTCTTCCTCTCTCCGTTCCCTCTCCTCTCCACCGAACGTCGCTGCCACCCCCACTGTCACAATCACCTCCACCATTTATCTCATCTCTCTTTTTCCTTTCTCTCTCTCCTCTCCTCCTCAAGTTCTCCACCCATTGTAGTCATCGCCATCTGGCTCTTATGTCGAGGAAGTGTTCATCGCCACTGCGGATGACAGAGGAGGCGGCAAGTTTCTAGTGGCGTTCACGGTTGTTCTCGGGGTTTAACATCTAGAAAGTGTTTCAGAGCCAGGTGGGTTGGGATATGTTATGTTCACAATTCTTCTAGCAAACTGTATTATAAATTTATAGAGAAAAGAGACAGTTGATCCACTTCGAATGGGATCTCCTCCTGAAACTAGGTTTGTAGAATTCTGAATAATTTCATTAAAGTAGCAAACTGATATATATATTTACAAAGCAGGCTATTCATGCCCACTTTCCCACTACCTCCTACTTTTACTCACCATAACTACAACTGACCTACTAATTCCAACGCCACAACTGACAACTAACATATATACAAACAATCAACCAGAATACTTATGTAATTAAGAAATTAATAACCTATATCATTCCTCCCTCCTCTGTTTCGCCTTGTCCGCAAGGGGAAAATCAGGATATCGATGAATGAATTTGTAGTACGGCTCCCATATAGCATCTTCTGATGGTATGCCTTTCCATTGAACTAAAATCTCGATATCAACTGCATTCCCTCGCTTAACCATTCGTCTAGCCAGAATTTCTTAAGGTTGTGGTTGCAATTTTGCATCTTCATTGATTGCAGGGAGATTTACATCCACATGAATATGCTCCCTAATTTTCTTTTTAAGGCAAGAAACATGAAATACGTTATGAATCTTGGTTCCCATAGGCAATTCCAACTTGTATGCTACGAGACCAATGCGTTCTAACACCTTGAATGGACCATAATACCTTGTTGATAGCTTAACTGATTGCCGGGAAGAAAAAGTGGATTGTCGGTAAGGCTGCAAGCGAAGAAAAACCGAATCTACAACTTCAAATTCTCGTTTAGTGCGTCGCCTATCAGCAAACTTTTTCATTCTTTCTTGTGCAATCTGTAAATTTGTTTTGAGTTCCTGCAAGATAAGAGAACAATTACGAAGAGCATTGTTAAGTGCTTGGACCTTAGTCGTACCAGGCTTATATGATAACAAAGTCGGTAGCTATACTCCGTACACAATCTCGTATGGAGTCATTTTAGTGCTAGAAATGGAATGTAGTGTTATACCACCATTCAGCCAAGTGTAGCCACTGAATCCATTTCTTAGGATTTGTACTGGTGAAGCACCTTAAATAATTATCTAAACATTTGTTCACCACCTCCGTTTGGCCATCTGATTGCTGGTGATAAGCACTGCTCATCTGTAGTTTAGTTCCTTAAAGGTGAAACAACGTCTGCCAAAATGCATTAATAAATGTACGATCTCGATCACTAACAATTGAAGTCGGCATCCCATGTAATTTAAAGATATTCTCCATAAAAACTTGAGCAACAGTGGCAACTATGTAAGGATGTGACATTAGTACAAAATGTGAATATTTAGACATGCGATCCACAACCACAAAAATTATTGTTTTTCCTTGGGATGATGGAAGACTGTCTATGAAATCCATGGATATATCAGACCAGACCTGCTCCAGAATAGGTAGTGGGTGTAATAAACCAGGTGTTGCCACCTTCCCTGCCTTATGCAGTTGACAAATGTCGCATTCTCGAACACGCATTTTGACATCTCTGCGTAGACTTGGCCAATGGAACACTTTTGAAATTCTTTTTTAATGTTTTATGGTAGCCTGAGTGCCCGGATGAAGTAGAGCTATGTAGTTCCTGGAATATGGAATCCTGTAAAGAAGAAGTTGGACTAAGCATAAGTCGCCCTTTCTTGTAGAAAATCCCGTCCTTAAGCTAAATTTTTTTCTGTTTAAGAGTTCTTTCTTCATAGGCTCCTTCAAGCGCCTTAAAATAAAGATATTTGCAGACTTTTTCACATACATGCTGCAACTAGTTGGAAATTGTTGGGATATTCCCATT